GGGTATTTTTGTAATTTTACCCTACCAGAGTATTCTTATAATTTCCCATCCAAGTACCTTTAACATTTAACCTTTGATGATATAAAATATATGTTACAAATCCATGGCTTATTTCTTTACCTCTAATCACAACTTGTAATATAATTCTAATAATCCCTCAATCTCTTATATTAATCTTTCGATCTGTATTCAGTTATCGAATTTCTACCACATTCATATCGAGTGTATAAATTAATCAACTTCACAAAAGTGATCAACATTATCTTATTCATGCATTTACCAATATCAACATATTCCATAAAGCATAAAGAGGTAGTAAAGTATTACCTCGATTTTCATGCCATACTGATCGACCATTAAATTCCATTCGAACACCCTCGATCTTAAAATCATCTTCCAATATTTCCTCGGATCCATATCAACAGAAATTACATTAAAACAGAGCTTAATTCTGAAAAACGGATCGAATCGGATGATAAATCAGTGAAAACAGCTTACCGGGTTCGAATTTGGCGAAATGGACTTCGGATTCGAATTCAAGACATCGAAAGCATAAAATATGACTTTTCGAAAATTTAGAATTTTCGGTCAAAATCGAAGTCAACGGGTTTGACTGGCAATTTCGAGGCCTTCGGATTTCGAAAAACGGACTGCAGAATCGGATTTGGAACGTCGAAAAATGTCAGGATAGGTATACTCAGTCAAAGTCAAAGGTCGTTTGATGCCCGGTCAAAGCCCGTCAAATTTTTGGTCAATACCGGTCAACGGGTCAACGGGTCGGGTCGAGTAAACGGGACGGGTCGGGTTGGATCCGGTCAAAACAGCTCAAAAACTGTCAAGCCAGTCATTTTTCCCTTCCCCACGCGCAGTGGTGGCGCGTGAACAGTGCTACGATGTCGAAAAATTCCCAAAAAAAATTCCTAAAAATTATTTTAAGCGATTTCAAGACACTTACAAAGCTCGTTTCACAATTTTGAATGGTGGAGTGCTCGATTTCAATGAATCGAAAACTTTGACCGCTTCACCTCCTCATGCACCGCCGTCGACGGAGACCAAGGATGACACCGGCAGACTCGGAACGATGCAAGGAACACGATGGTGCGGGAGGTGTCGTAAACGGATGCTCGGATCGTCGTGAATCGACGTAAAACCAATTGAAATCGAGTTATTACCGACGATACTTCCGACTGAAATTAACGACGAACGACGACGATTCACGACGAAAGGTTTGAGGGGTTTTGTTCCTCGGTTGACAACGAACACGATGGTGGTTTCGGCTCGTCGATCGGAGGTCGGACGACAAGTAGACCAGAGTTGCAAGAAGGGTTGAGGGGAAGGGGAAAACTGATGTTTTTATGCAGAAAAACATACGGGAATGAGTGTTATAATTCATCCCAAAAGAAAAATGGTAAAATCATGAGTTTAGCCACTGAATTTCTTGTACTTCTTAAAATGATCTGCCAACTTTGAAATTTTACAATTTAATCCATCGTTTCTTTCAAAAATACCAATTAAATCCACCACTTTATAATTTCTTAAATTTAGCCCCTAAATTGGGGTGTTACAAAACTCCCTTTAGTCAGGAGATCATTTTGTAATTTTTAATAATCGATGGACTCAAGAAACTAGTGCTCTATAACCGAGGACTATTTGTGTACTTTACCCTTGTTTATATACTTCTATTTAGAGTTAATTTCACTATGAATTCTCAAACTATGATCCTCATTCTAAATTAGTCTCCAAACTTTTGAGTATTCTAATTTTATCCTTAAACTATGACTTTCATTCTAAATAGGAATGTTCAAAAGTTTGGGGACTAATTTAGAATGAGGGTCATAGTTTGGGGATGAATTTGAAATTTTCAAAAGTTTAAGGACCAATTTAGAATGAAAATCATATTTTGGGGGTGAATTTACAATATTTAAGTTTAAGGATTAATTTAAAATGAGGGTCATAGTTTGAGGACGTATAGTGGATTTGACTTCTATTTCGGGTAAACTATACAATTTATACCCAAATTATTTCTAAAATTCTCATTTTGCTACAATATTAGGAAGTGAAATTCTATATAAGGAACGTAACGAGAGGTTAGAAAAAGGTCAACTTCTTATTTAGTCAACTTGAAAGAAACAAAATATGATTGTTTGAAAAATAGAGGGAATCATTCCTATATAGTTTATATTATAGATTGTTTTGCGTGAAAGAGAAATGGATAATTAAAATATTATATATACTACATATATAATTATAAAATTAAATAAAATACATTATAAGATATTTTCTACTTTATATAATATTAAAATTTTCATATATTTATTTGAATATTTTTAAATTAAAATTTTATATAAAATTTTGATAATGTTTTGAGATTTTTAGAAAATTTTCGAAGCTATTTTAGAATTATAGTTAAAAATTGTAAATTGTATTAAATCCATATTTGAAAAAAAAGTGTCGAAACGGTTTTTCTCTTAGAAAAAATCACATTTAATTTTTAAAAGAATCTCGCCTCGAATGATTTGATGACCGGATAATAATAAAACGTGGTTCGAGGAGTCGCTACCAATATTTGATTAGGGTGTTATTGGGCACCCAAAAAGAATATTTTATTTTAATAAAAATATATTAATTAAAATAACAAATTTGTGGTCCGCGTTACCAAAATTTGAGTTCGGGAGTCGGTCAGTGTGGGGAAGGATTAGCCCCCACAACACCCTAAATCGATACCTAGTCGATTAATTAGTTGTCTTTGCAATGAAACTTAAGAATTTAAGTCTAATTTAATTTAAGATCCTATACAAGCAATATTCCGGGAATTTTAGGACGAAACACAATAATATTTATTTATTTACTATCGATAAGAATCGACCTCTCATGCCTTAAAGCAGTCGATTATTACTTCAATCGAAATGAAAAAAATATTATAATTACATCATAACGTTGATTATTAATTCAAAATAACAACACAAGACAATTCTAAGAGAGAAAATGATAACATCTAATGATTTTCAATCGAGAATAAACAACCTTTCATGCATTAAAGCAGTCAATTATTACTCCAATCGAAAAAAAGAGATATCACTATTTCATATTATAAATCAATATTGATTCGAAAGGAAAACGGTAATATCTAATTATTTCCAATCAATAATAAATTACCTCTCATGCTTTAAAGCAGTCATTTATTATTCCAACCGAAACAAAAAGATATTTCTATTCTCAATATCAATTCGAGTGTTACTATTTTGAAAATCTATTAGAAAATACATACAAAAATAAAGCGAACTAGAAGCATATATCAAGTAAGTACAATTAATTATTTATTTTACCAACCTTTAATGAGAATAAGGATGCTCAATTATTTAAATACATCGAGACGAGACCTTAAATTCGATCTAACGGTCTTTTCTCGGTGAATTTAATTAAAATAACATGATATTTTTCTCAGTCTCCAAATTTTAAATGTTATCAAATTTTTAGGATTTCACTTGATGTGCAAACTTTCATTTTAAAATTATTGAAAACAACTTTCTTATACGTTAAGATAGTTACTTTACAACAATCCTAAAATGAACGGATATTACCCTTAATTCAGTTATTTGAATCAAATAGAGTTATACATATTCAAGATATCTAGATCTAAAGACACGAACAAATACACTTATATAATATTTAACAAACGTACGTGAAATTGCCTATTTAATCTCGATGCATTAAGGGATACATTATGTCATATTTAAGGCGGGTGTTTAGCTATGATGGGCATGTATACATACATTTAACAACTTTAAGACCTAAATATATAAGAAATAGTGAAGAAATACTTAAAACAGATTTAATTAAGCATACTAATGAATAAAAAAACTCAAACAACATATATATACATATATATTTAAATATAGGTGTTTAATATGAAGAATAATATGAGTAAATTATATATACATATATATAATAAGGTACGTTATCCATACAGGCTATAATATATTGCATAATATGGATAAATAAAAAAATATTGTATATAATATATATCTATATATATATAATACATACTTAAATAATATAATATAGGTTAATGCATGTACATGTAAGCATGAAACCAAGCATCCATAACAAAGGGTATTAATGCAAACATGACAAAGTACCAAGATTAAAATGTAAATAGCCTAAAAACATGTATTGAAATAACAATAAAAAACTAAACATCATGGGGGACTAAAATAAAAATTTTAGAATTACATACTGCAAATTAAAATCAATAAAAAGCAAATAAGTCAAAATGACTAAAATATAATATACATAAAATAAAAGTCAAAATACGAAAATAAAAAGATTTCAAACTTGAACCAAAATACAATTTTTCAAACATAGGGACCCCCTAAAGTGATTTACCCACACGCGAAATAGTTGGTTGCCCTAGAGCATCTAAATGGCGTCGTTTTAAAACCTTATATATATATATATATATATATATATATATATATATATAGCACCCCTGTAAAATGCCCGCTATCAATAATAGCTTTAGGCATGAGAAAAAAAAAGGCTTCACACCGAGACACCCAGATCCTCCATCCATATAAGCTTGCTTGCTTTTTTTCTTTACTTACGATTACGATCAGGGACATATAAATCATAAGCCAGAAGGAAAGAAACTCACTTACACCTTATTATCCGATGCAAAAGCATAAGCTCGCTCAAGCAAGAAAGCAAAATCAGTCTTTGCTCCGGGAAATCAAATTCCTTGCTTCTTGAGCTGGTACAAGAACTAAAGCAAAAAGGAGTTCACCTGATTAAGGACGATAGGGCTATGCTGGAAATGAACCCCCTCGCTCTCAGTTACTCCCTCTGCTCCGTCCCTTTCACCGAAGGAAGGTGCTTTTCTAGCGTGAAGTGAGACAACAATGCCCGGGAAAAGCATGAATAGAAGGAGAAAGAGCAAGAATAGCATATATATATATATATATATATATATATATATATATTTAATTATAGGATTTTAGCTAACCCTAGCCTCATTTCTTTCCTCTTAGCCGTTCGGCTCCTCCCCTTTCTCTCATATCCTTTTTTCTTTTTCATTTTCCCCACAAAAACCCTCCAGCCACCGCTTCCAAACGGCCCTGACGAGGGGCCGATGACCTCCTAAAATTAACACCAAACCCCTTAACTCAAAACTGAGACCCAAATCAACCGAAACCACACAAATCAACCCCAAAAGTAAAAAAAACTACCTTCGATGTTAGACCAAGCCCCCTCATCGCCGGTGAAGTAAAGCCCAAGGTAAGCTCCCTTCTTTTCACTTTTTTTTGTTTCGTTTCATTATTTCCTTTTTATTTAAAACCAAAACCCTTTCTATTTTTTTTAAAAAAAGCCGACTTTCCACTATTTTTCCCCTTTTGTTTCTTTCTTTTCTTTTTTTGAACCCTTAAAAAAATTAAACCATTTTCTGTTGTTCTTTTCTTTTTTCTCCCCTTATATTCTCTAACCATTCTCCTTTTAGGTTAGATCTGTTGCACGTTGTCTCCTTCACCTTTGTGTTCTTGGGGAGGTTTTGTTGAGGCCATCATCACGAGTGATGTTTGACATGTAAGGGGAATGATTTTATTTTTGTTGTTTATTTTCTTGTTCTTATTTCTCTACTTCTTGCGTGTTTGGTGAATCTTGGTAGAGAGATGATGACGTTGGAGGTCACGGGTTCGGTCAGAGTGACGGTAGAAACGGCGGAGAGAGTACTTATCAGCGATAATGATATCAAGTTGGGGCTGGAAAGTTAGGGTTTCAACAAACCCTAATTGGTTAGGTTTGGGCCAATTAGGCCCTCTTGTAATTGGGCCTGATTGTGAGCTTGATGATTTGTAATTTGAGCCCAAATTGGGTTTACAAAGCTTGAAAAAAAAGAACAAAAATACAATAATAATAATAATAATAATAGTAATAATAATAACACAACCCGAATAAAACGGGTGTCTACAAAAATCTAAACAGTCAAATTAAAAATTAATCTTTTTGTTGTTATTTTAAGCCGATTTAATTTAGCATGGATTAACGTTTTAGTGACTATATAATGTAAGTGATCACAATATGATAATTCAAAACTGAGTGATCTGAATAAAGTAAAAATGAAACAAAAGTGACATATTGTTTAGTTTACCCAAAAAAGAAAGAGAGATGAACTATTGATTTTATGCGTTGTAGCATGTTAGTTGAACATTTTTAAAGTATAGTTATAGATTAATTTGGTACAAAAATAATTAATTAATAGAATTAATAAAAAAAACTATTTAACATTATATTTCTAACGTATATATTTAAACTCAAACTAGTTAAGAACTAAGACCTAATTATTTTTTAATCACATTAAAATCATGTGAGAAATTGCATGATATGAAATATTGAAAATGACAAGAACATTGACTTTTGGAAGGATATGTTGCTTAATGAAATTGGAGCATTAATCTAGTATAGACCAAGCATGAGTACACAAACAATTGAGGACTATTTCGTTGCCTCAATGGTCAGATTAAACGATGAATGGAGATAGGAAGCTTTTGAGCATTTGCTTCCGCATGAAATACTCCTTGGAATAACAGTTGTCAAACCACTAAATACATCGTTTCAAGAAGATTCAATGGATGGAAATAGAAGACTAACAGAAAAATCACCGTGAAATCTGCCTATGATACTAGAGTACATCACACCATGGGAGAAGAAGAAGCGATTGATAACTTTCTAAAATAGTTACTATTTAGGATCTTTTTATTTAGGTTTAGTTTGAACTTTAACATAATTATGATCATTTTAGTTTTATTTTAGCATATTATACATCATTAGCATAATGGGAGTGTTGTTATTTCTTGGGCTGAATTTGAAGTTTTTGCTGTGAATTGCTACTCCGATGTGATCGTGTCTGATGTTGTAGGCATTGTTATGAGCTAATGCGAGACAAAATTATTGAGTTGATTCCAATTGATGACTCACTAGGTGATTAGAGAGAATATTTTAGGATGACCAACTATCCAATTTAGATAATATCAAGGCGGAAATGAAGAAAAATAAGAATTTTCCTATTGGATGAAGAATTGACTTTTGGAGCTTATAAAAGGGGCTAGTCTTCACACCTTTCTTCTTCAATTTTCAAATTTTCTGGCCTTCATTTTATGTTTCTTCTAACACTGTAGCACTCATGGCAACTTAGACCACTTTGAGAGAGCATTAATCAAACGTGGAATAATGCACCGTGAAGGTGATAGCCGACGTTATTTGAGTTTCTTCTTTGCTTTTACTTTTGAACCCAAGAGGGAGAAACATTATTTGCTAAGTTGGATGTTATTTTTGTGGATGATGTGCTAAACTTGGATGTTATATTGTTTTTATATTTTATGAAATACATGTTTGTTTATTTTGATGTGTTAATGGATTAGGGTTGCTTGAGCTGAATATTTGGATTTGTTTTTAGAAATAAAAACTACCAATAATACATTGAGATACATGTTACATTCTATATAGCATCAATATGAGAGCATTTGGTAGCACAATTAAGATTTGTGTTCCCTAAGTGTCATGACATTTTGAGTGAGTATACTTAGGTTGAGTTATAGAAATATAATGTCTTTCATGTCATTTTAGTAATGTTGAACGCACTATTTTGCTTGTCATTGCATCATTATTAACTTGCATGTGCTTTTTAATACTTTATAATTCTTAATACCATCAACATGCTTTTTTGATTATTGTTGTAATCTCTATCATTATATTTTGATTTTTAGTATCTATCATAATTTTGTTACCATAACATTTTCACACTTTTCAATATTAGTTAAGAAATTCTATGTGTAATCACTTGTTTTTTATGAGTCCAACATTCAACACACTTGTGTTGTTCACTTACTACTTGATAATGATATGTGCATGTTATGTGTTGTGTGAATTATAAATTAAACGAAAATATGTGCTAGTATATACAATCGAACAAGTAATATAGAGTGAGTGAGTATCGTCTCCACATGGATTGGAGAAAATTAAGAGTTATGTTAAAGAACAAATCTAAATTATCTAAGTATAGTTATTGTGATGGTATGAACAAATGATAATGTCGTGACAAAATAAAATGTATGCAAATGGAATTTCAATGGTATTGTGGATGGGCGGCAAACAGAAATGTTATGGTAAAATGAGATGCAATGGAAATGTGGCAATGAAGCAGGATGAAAATGATATGTCAAATTGACATGTATGAAGTTTAACCAATTAAAAATGCAAAGACAAAAACAATTGAGAATCTGGGATTAAAATAGATAACTTGACAATCTTCACACAAACAAGCTGCAATGAGAATGATTGGTGGGGTCACTCAAAAGTCCTAAGCTTTGTTTTCTAGAATGGTCCAAACTTCTATGGCTTACTTTCTAAACAAAGTTTACTAAGATTGTCCATATGCTATCTCTAGTCAAGGAACCTGACAGATGAAAATGACATGGCAATACTTCTCGGTGTGAGCAGTAGCTTAAAGCCTATCGATTAAGTTTTACTCCTTTTAGTCATTCAGATCTTATCATTATCTCTAAGGTGGATTAGGTCTTAGATGGCAGCTAAAACCCATTGCTCATGTTGATCCTCACCTAGTTTCTCTTGAACACTAAGTATCGAACCATCTAGTTTCTCTTAACCACTAAGTAGTGCAACTAAGAAACGACTACTCTCATAACTCTTACAATCCTAAGTAATTAAATAAAATGTGCAAAGCAAATAATAACCATAAAAACTCAAACCATTCACTAAAACAAACACTTAATCATCTATAAATATCCCACACCAAATAAGGTTTAGTTCATGGTGGGGATTAGATCATCCAAAAATATCATTCATTTCATAACAACCCACAAAATATAAAGGAAAAGAAAACACAAGGGTGGAGGAAAAACTCCCAATGTGTGATGTCATTACTTTCCTCGGCCACCATAAACCACCTTATCGATACTAGCTTCTCTCAAACACTTAGCTCATCACTCACTCGATCTTGAAAATGGAGGACATCACTAAAAACATGAAAAGAAGAAGAAAAATGGAAGCTTGTAGTTATCCCTCATCCTTGCTTAGCTCAATCATTTTTCCCCCAAAAAGAATTCTCCCTCATTTTTTTGGCATCATATTTTATCTATACTAAAGGAATCTCCTAGGGTTTTGTGCCAAAATTTCATTAGTACCTTAGGTAGCATTCCTCTCACGTGAAAGGGAGTAAAAAGGTAGAAATGGTCCCCTCCTAGGTGGTAGGAAATAGGAATCACGTGTGGAATGGACATCTGGCTCTTTTATAAAAATATCTTCAGCTTTTTTTGTATTTTTCTATGCCCATAAATTCCTTTCTAGTTACCGTGGCATTTTCCTTTTGCTTCATCATCCCAAATTGCTTCGACAATTCTCCCTTTTCACCTTTTGCTTCATGAACCTGCACACATAAGACAACAATACCTTCCCCGTAAAGCAATACCATTTGCAGAATAAAATGCCACGACAATTCTTAAACCACCAAATGCAACTACATATTCCTAAATGCATATAAGACCTAAGACAACCAATAACTTAAGTGAAAAAGGCCCTATATATAGTCTTTTTACGGAGTTATCAATGCACTTGTATTAAATGTCATAGAAATATTTTTAGCATCAAGTTTTTAGTGTCGTTGTCAGGGGGAAAATGACATTACAATAGAGTTGTTTTCCTTTTGTTTTAACAAACTTTGTTTATTTTTTGTATGAAAGTTTTAGTTCAACATTGTTGGTGCATGAAACATAGTAAGAACCATGACTTAGAACCATTTGATCTCGAAATCGAGCGAATAATCGGCCCTAGAAGACAAACAAATCAGCATCAACCAAACATAGCTAACAATAGTGTTGGCAAAAATGGTTTAATTATTGCAAAATGGTGAAGATGATAATTTAGTAAATGACATTAAAGTGGTGATTTTACCTCGACAAAATATTCCAATGTATCAAAATTATTACAACATCGATCACTACAATAGGCCAATTTGAGAGCATGTTGTGTGTATATTGGATAATCCTAATCTTAGCATTGTTCGACCTGCTAACATGCTGCATTCTTTGAGTTGATGTTCCAAGTGTTACAGTCGGTGGGGAAGTATAGTGGGATGCATACTGAGGATTCAAGAGCACATTTATGAGCATTTATGGAAGTATGCGATTGTTCAATAAGGAGTGCCCGAGGAAGCTTTGAAGTTGAAATTATTCCCTTACTCTCTTTACGAAAAAGTCAAGGCATTTCTTGATTCATTGCGACCTAGAGCTATAGCATTATGTAAGTTCTCATTGTGTTTCAACCCTCCCAACACAAATGCTAAATTGAGGAATGATCTTACATGTTTCAAACAAATGGAGGACAAGAACCTTTATGAAGAATGAGAACAATTTTAGTATTTGTTGCACAAATGCCCAATGCATGCTTTCCAACTTAGACACTAATGAAGATGTTCTACAATGATCTTAACATACAAACAAGGATGGTTGTAGATAATTTTGATAATGGAGCATTGCTAGTTAAATCTTACAACAAAGCTTATGATATCTTAGAGAATATTTTCAACAATGACTACCATTATCCTAATAGAATTATTATATTGGGGAGACGTGTTGCTTCCACAATGGACAAAGATGTGCTGAAAACAATGGCCACACATGTGACAACATTGACTGAAATGATGAAGTAGATGCAAAAGCCTAGAGTATGTATGAGGTAGAATCTACATTCTATTATTTCTTATTTTTATTTTGATGATATTCATAATTTTGAGTAATATCCACAAAACTCGGAGTCTATGTGTTTTGTGAGGAATTGCAATAGGAATAAATGCCAACTCATATAGGAACACCTACAGACAATGCCAACTCATATAGGAACACCTACAATCCAAACTTTTGAAATCATCCCAAATTGAGAATTCAAAATTTAGCCAACTCCAATATGGATTTGCTATTAGACTTTAGGAATACGCGACAACACTATCAACCACAGTAACAGTAGTTGATACTACCACATCAATAGTCACATCACCAGGCAATACAACCACAATAATGCACCAACCAACTTAATTATTAAGAAAATCTTCCAACCAAGCTTAAACATCAACATCACTTAAGTCTCTACTGAAGGAGTGCATTTCAAGAAATAAAGCAACAAATAAACAAAATAAAGCTTTAATCTAAAGTTAGTCAGCATCGTTGAAAGCATTAAAGAATAATGTTAGTGAGTTGGCCAATACTTTGAGCAACATACCACAATGAGCATTGTCGAGTGACACTAAAGTTCGTAAAGAAAATGGGAAAGCTCATTACAACTAGCATTGCAAAGCCATCACGACACATAGTGGACTCCACCTTGGTGAACCAAATGATGAGAATAAAAAGAAAAAAAGATGAGAGGCCTGGACAATAATTAAAATTAAAGGAGTTAGAGGATGTGATGGAGACACCCAAATATGATGTTATGACAAAAGAGGCTAGACATAGTAGTAATTATGAAGTATTGCCACCAGTAATACCAATAAAATTGTCACCTGAATTATAATATTTGCCTTTGCAACCTAAACCAAGACCCATGTCTTCATTTCCTCAATGATTCAAGAAGACTATGAAGGACCATCAATTTTGAAAGTTCATTTATGTGCTGAAGTAATTGACAATAAACATTCCATTAATTCAAGCATTGGAGCAAAATATAAACTATGCCAAGCTTATGAAGCAAGTGTTTTCGAAGAAGTGAAGACTTGGTGAATTTGAAATTGTTGCACTTACTAAATGATGTAGTGTTATAGCTACAAGTAGATTGCCACCTAAATTAAAATATTTGGAGAGTTTTATTATTCTCTGCATTATTGATGATCAATTTATAAGTAGAACATTATGTGACTTACACGTCAACACCAATTTAATGCCTTTTTCTATTTTTAGGAAATCTGAACGTGGGGAACCAAGGCCTACCATTGTGACACTTCAACTTACTAATTGTTCCATAGTATATCCCGATAATATGGATGGATATATGCTAGTCTGAGTGGATAAGTTCATTTTCTACTGATTTTATTATTTTGAACTGCGAAACTGATAAAAATATCCCAATCATATTTAGTTGACCATTCCTTGCTATAGGTAGATTATTACTCGATGTTGAAAAGAGAGAACTTGTTATATGTCTTAATGATGAACATGATAGCTTTAATGTTTTAAATAATGTTACATACGATGATGATAATGTTGAATTTCATTTTATTAACATTATTGATATGATTGTGGAGGAACATATGGATAAATGCCAAAAACATTAATGACGTTATTAGTACTGATGTGACAATAGAGTAATACAAGGAACATGAAGAGATTGATTAGGTCAAAGGGAAATATATGCAACTCTTTGATTAATTAGAACTTCCAACTAGGTATATTAAAGTTCCTCGTCCCTCCATTGAAGAACCACCCACCTTTGAATTAAAACCTCTTCCCGATCATTTGAAGTATGCATTTCTTGTGAAAAATGAGACGTTGAATGTTTTTTTTTTGCAACAAAGCTTGACGCATCACGGGAAGAAAAATTGCTCAATGTTCTAAAGCATCACAAGAGAGCAATTGGTTTGAGTATTGCTGATATCAAAGTGTAGACACCCATTTTCACACGAAGATTGTTTCGAATTTTTAGTAGTATTCTATTATATTTATATATTATAATATATATTCACAAAGTATATTATTTATTATAGTGTATATATAATATATAGTAATATATTAAGTATATATATATATATATATATATATATATATATATATATATATATTGGCAAAAGGTTAACTTTTGCCCTTGTCTTAGACTCAATTTATTATTTTTGTCCCTAATCGTATTTTTACATCAGTTTAGCTCTCAAAGTTGATTAACTGCATCATTCTATACCTTAACCCTAACTTAAAACCTTAAATTCAAAACCATAAACCCAAAACCTTAACGTAAAATCCTAAACAATAGTAAATATTTTAAACATTGATACAATTGAGAAACTTTGAGGGCTAAATTGATGCGAAAATACGATAGGGGCAAAATGATAAATTGGGTATACTATAAGGGTAAAAATGACCATTTTACCTATAATATTTTAATATTATATATAGTATAGTATATAATATATACTAGGCTTAAATATACAAAAAGTGTCCAACCTATGCCCGTTTTTCTAATTTAGTGCCTAACGTTCTTTTCGTTCTAGTTTGGTGCTTAACATTTCATTTCGTTACTCAAAATGAATCTAACCATGATAGGTCGTTAAGTTCAGTCGTTAACCCATTAAAAATGCCATATGACATTTTTAGGGTAAAATATATAAATAAATCACCAAACTTTTAGGGCTTGCATTTTGGTCACCCCGTTTTCTTCTTCTTCTTCTCCTCTTCCTCCTCCTCCTTCATTATTTTGATTATAGACTTTGTCTCTTCATTTTTACATAGGCTATAACATAGATGTTCTTGTTACTGTTCAATCACTCTCATTGGTGATTGTTTTATTCTATGGCCGAGATCTCATGTTATTCTCTAGCTAATATTTACTAGTGTATTAGAGAGGAGCCATAGTCGTATATGCTACCCACATTTTTGATGGACTGGAGACATGGGAAACACATTTGGCTTACATCCAAGATGGTCAATTGAAGAGATCCAAAAAGTTAACCGAAACAAATGAGTTGAAAAGCTCAGAAAATTTGCTCTCTGTCATTGAAGCATGGCTGTGCTCCGAAACCAAGTCTAAGAAAAAGAAACCGTCCAACACCCCTTCCCAAGTCTAGAAGTCCTTGCCTTACGTTACTTCTCCTTTCATATCGTCGATGCACATTGCATCTTCCACTGATCTCTCTGAATCCGGTTATTTTTTCAATAATTTTTATACGATTATCAGAGTTATTTCGTAGTCGTCTACTGGCGTGTAGTCGGCCACAATAACTTTATATGCTTGTTTAGCTCATGGTTACTTAATTGGTAACTGTATATATCAATATATGTCTCTCCTTTTGGAAGCTTTGTTTGAAAGCGTGAAGGGTGAAACTGATGGCCTTTATTTTTTCAATAAGTCGATGTTGAATAGGTGCTTATGGATCTTGTTGGTTATACAATTGAAGCTCTAATCCAGCAATATGCCTTCAGAAAATTATGTTGTAATCTCATTTAAGAAGAAGAAGAAAACGGGGTGACCGAAATGCAAGTCCTAAAAGTTTGGAGATTATTTATATATTTTACCTTAAAAAATATGTCAGTTGAAATTTTTAATAGATTAACGACCAAACTTAATGACCCATCACAGTTGGACCCATTTTGAGTAACATAATTAAATACTAGCTATCAAATTAGAATAAAAAAACATTATGCTCTAAACTGAAAAAATAGACATAGATTGGACATATTTTGTATATTTAAGTCTATATATAATATATATTTAAAAACGTATATAACTTTTTTTTAAAAATATATAATATATATATTATATAATATATTATATATAGTATATTTAAAAAACATGTATATATATATATATATATATAGTATATATATTTTAAAATATGTTATAGTTTTTAAAATATATATCATATAGGCCTAGGAGTTCATTCAGTTAAAACAGTGGCCGACCGAACCGAATTAACCGAACATTGTTTTTGAAAATATAAATCAAACCGAATAAATTTTGGTTAATTCGGCTAATTTTTGAATTAACCGAAATTTTTTAAAATTTGAAATTTTTTAAAATTTTCTAAATTATATAAAAATTGAATATTTTTAATTAAAAAAATACAATTAATTTAAATAATATATAATTATAAAATAAAAATTTTATATGAATTTTTTAATTAATTAATATTGATTTAAGTTTAAAAGTTATTAGAGCCTAAATTATTAATTAGATTTTAAATAGTTTGAACTGAACCCATATGTTATATATAATATATTTAAAATTTAATTTCGGTTAATTAACTGATTTCGAGCCGAATTAACCGTTAATCGAACTCTAAAAAAATTATTAATCGTTTCCCGATCGAACTAATTCGGTGACCGACCGAATTAACCAATCTAAATCGGTTTAGTCGGTTAATTCGATTAAAACCGAAAATGATAACCCCTACCTATTGCTACTATTTATTATTTATAAATAATCCAAAAAAGCTAGCATGATCCAGCAAGCTTGGGTTACGGTTAGGGTTTTCATATCAAGCTAGGCGTCAGACATGTTCTAGCTATAAGATCAAGGCACAAACCAAAGGCCAATATTGAAAGCAAAGAAGTGTTTAAAAACCCTAAAAGCTACACCATTTGCACAACCGCCTTAGGACCATTGAATCTGGCTTGATAATCCAATGTTCCAGATTTCATCAGTAGATACTGAAGGGTCACCAGACAATCGGTTAACGGTACGTGACGACGA